CTCTCTCTCTCTCTCTCTCTCTCTCTCTCTCTCTCTCTCTCTCTCTCTCTCTCTCTCTCTCTCAAGGGGCCACACTGGTGCCTGTACCTTCAACCAGTTTTTTCCCCACATTCATCCGATACTTAAGAGTCTACTACTTATACTTATATTTATGTAAATCCCATTGCTTTATACTTGTTACTAAAAGATTAATAATAATAACCTTTTAAATACTCTATTTAATTTCGTAATACTTTATAATTTTACTATGTAGACTCTACTATAGGTGTAGTTACAATATATATAGTAAGTCGCTGCTATTGCAGGGTGCAGGCTGACTACTGCTTCAACCTGAAATCTCTGCTGTTACACACAGTTACACATCTATGAATAAACAGCATCTAAGCAGTCTGTGCGAATAATACAGCAACCAAGTAGTTGCACTGTAACAAACTCTGCTATAGTTGATCTCTGCTGCTGTTGCAGGGTTCAGGCTGGTTACTGCTTCCACCTGTACAACCGGCTGCAGCAGTCGTTGATGGATGCCTACCAGCTGCCGGAGATTCTGCGCACTCCGTTAGAAGAGTTGTGTCTGCAGGTGAAGCTGCTGCGGCTTGGCCTCGTGCAGCCGTTTGTCAGCCGCGCGATGGAGCCACCGTCGGATGCCGTTCTCACCCTCGCCCTACGTAATCTCACCACCCTCGTACGTTTTCTCGCATACATGTGCCTGCTAGCTAACATCGTAACAAGATGGCGCGTGATAGCACGAACATAGATACGCTCTAGTATGTTTACATGTCTATATATTGTCAATGTGTACTCATATATTTTGCAGCATGCATGATTTATAGTTATGAGCATTACTCATGTACCACACTTATAAAACCTCTGTAGAGAACACACACGCACATGCGCACGCACGCACATGCGCACACACGCACGCACACACATATACTCTATAGTATATATTGTATATGTAGTATGTATATATATATATATATATATATAGTCTATATACTCTAGATATATTGGAACATACATATGTTTATAATAATAACGTGTTGATGTCGTTAAGAATGCGCTGGATGAGAATGAGGACTTGACGGCTCTTGGCTTCCACCTGGCGCGCATGCCAACAGACCCTCACACGGGCAAGATGATCCTGTTTGCAGCGATGTTCCGCTGTCTCGATCCCGTGCTGACCATAGCTGCGAGTCTCAGCTTCAAGGATGCCTTCGTCATACCGCTGGTGAGCTCATGTCTCAACGTCTCATGAATGATCGCTGTCTCAATGTCTCATGAATGATCGCTGTCTCAACGTGTCATGAATGATCTCTGTCTCAATGTCTCATGAATGATCGCTGTCTCAACGTCTCATGAATGATCGCTGTCTCAACGTCTCATGAATGATCGCTGTCTCAACGTCTCATGAATGATCGCTGTCTCAATGTCTCATGAATGATCGCTGTCTCAATGTCTCATGAATGATCGCTGTCTCAACGTCTCATGAATGATCTCTGTCTCAATGTCTCATGAATGATCGCTGTCTCAACGTCTCATGAATGATCTCTGTCTCAATGTCTCATGAATGATCGCTGTCTCAACGTCTCATGAATGATCGATG